TATATATATATATATATATATATATATATATATATATATATATATCAGTGGTTGATGATTTTGCACTACATGATTTTATATTTGCCCAGTAGTTATGATTCATGAAGCATCATTTTACCTTTACTGCAGCTTTCAACACAACAGTGTCTCTCTGCACATATGTGACCAGTCCACATAAGTACACCATGGCACCAACCCTGAGACACACACCTGCATCTATGTAGGGTGTGCGTGATGAGGCTGGCACCATTAGCACTCATATGTGGTTGGATCCACCTAGAGATGGAAGACCACAGGAAATGTGTGTTTCTGAAAGGGTCACTTGACCCCCAGGTCAAGAACTCCTGCTCTTGAGTCTAGTGGCTGGAGCAGAAACGAAGTCTCATTTTCCCTATTGGGCCTCTGTTGCATTTCCAGCCCAGAACCAGCCCAGAAAAGCATGTTCAGGACCTTGGGGGTGGCAGCAAGGTTCTAGAACCTGCTCCAGTTTTGGTCTAGAAAGTGGCAGGGGATGGAAACATGGGAGGAGATAAGCTCACTGAGGAATAGAATACAGCAGTCTTTACTGTTAGTGAATTGCTTCACAGGTGCTGCATTACTAGGTCTAAACTTTCAAGAGAAAAGTCTATTATGCTGGGAGCAAATAAAGCCAACTTGCCTGGGACTCTGAGATGCCCAAGTGAGAGACCAGGAGGGCCTCAGTTTTTAGCACAGTTGCCTTAATAGCTTCCAACAAGAGGAACTTGTAGTGTGCGCGCCAGTGGCGAGCATCAAGGGGTGGGCATTCATCTCTTCTCTGAATGTCCCTCATGATCACATGATCCTTGCTGAGGCTCACAGAAGTCTGTTCTTGCCATTCGCACATGAACAGCCAATGCAGTCACATCCCTAAGTCATTTCTGTCTCTAGACTTCACACTTCTACTTGGGGCTGCTAGAAGAGCCTCACTGAAGACAAAGATTTGGAAATCCTTGCATCTGATTCCATAAAGCCCTTCTGAAGTGAAACATACATGTGCCACATACCATAAAGTGGTACATGTCACAGTGAGTGTCATGAAGTAGAGCATACATGTCACAGTGAGTGTCATGAAGTAGAACATATATGACACAGTGAATATCGTGGATTCATATCATGTGGATTCATTTTAGGGAAAGAATCATTTATTGAATTTCTTGAAATCAACCTATTTTGTCTAAAGTCAGACTTTATTACAAATGACTCAGAAAGCCACTGAATTATCTACATTGCTCTACATTATTAGATAATAATTAGCATTTAAAACCCTAAGTTAAAATTTTACAGTGTGTTTCAGAATTTTCCACTGTGTGTGAGCAAATAATTTAACAGATCCAGGAAAGCCTTTTGTGTTTATTGCACTCTGCAAAGTGAAGCTTACCTCAAGTAAGGATTCTTTGTTTTTAGCATTCATTTTCTCATTGGTTTCCTTGTTTTCTCTTTTCCCCTTATTATCCAAGTAGAAATTCTAGATAAAACATTAAAAGATCATATCAGCAAGTATTCATTACTACAAGGAGCCCCCAGTCTCGCTGGAGAGAAGACAGACAGAGTAGAACTGCAGCGACTCTGGTGAAGCTCCCTTAGTGAGCTACTACTGCATCATCCCAGTTCAAGCATGGTCTTCATTCCTGCCCAGGCAGCAGAGCAAAAATATTAGGAAAGGGTATGACACCATTTCATTGTTAAATTCCACAGGCCAAGAACCTCACTGTCAAACAATGAACACCAGGAAGCCTAGTGGGCGGACAAGCATGGCGTGCCTATAAGGTTAGAATGTCTTCTGCTGACCTCAGTACCCCACTGCCTAGCCTAGTGGAACGAGGACAGTCTGGCTGTGGATGCATGATGTTATATTAGTACAATTTTTGTTTGTTTATTGCCCTTATGGTGTTTGGAATGGTAATTTTTTTGAGGCATGTTCTATTAAGCTGGTGTTTTCTCAAAATTGAAATGAAGTGGACATATATGTTAAGGGCAGGAGAGACAGCTCAGCACGTGAGTGTTTACTGTTCTTCAGAAGCCTCAGATTCAGTTCATAGCACCCACAGCAGGCAGTTTACAACTGCGTGTGACTACAGTTCTAGAGGATCTGATGCCCTCAGGTCTCGGAGGGTAACTAATGTACATGGCACACACAAACTCCTGACACACACATAAAAGTAAAAATAATACATTAATATTTAAAAACAAATAAGAAAAAAAAAGAGTCGACTTAACAGCTTATCTTAAAAAGCCTCAAGACCAACAATTGACAAATAGGACTGCATAAAGCAAAAACATTTCTGGATAGCAAGTGTTCAAGAAAAGAAGCAGCCTACAAGTGGAAAAAAAATAACTTTACCAATTATGCATCTGGCAGAGGGCTAGTATCTGGCCTAGAACATATTAAGAACTCAAAAAACTAAACATAAAGAAAACAAACAACCCAATTATAAAACAGAACTTGAAACAAAACAGAGTTCTCAGAAGATAAAATACAAACAGCCAAGAAATAATAAAAAATTGTTAACAAGTTGTTTTTGCTATCTGGGAAATGCAAATTTAACCTACTTTTGAGATTTCTTCTTCGTCAGAATGGCTAAGGTTAAAAAAAAGTGGAAAAAAAAAAAAACCCCAAACTAACAAAATCCCCAACAACAACAAAACCAAAAGCCCAAACAACAACAAAAACAAAATGAAAGCAGATGTTGATGAGGATTCAGGGAAAGAGGAAGTTTTTTTCAGTGCTGTTGGGAATGTGGCCATTATGGAAATCAGTGGAGGAAATTAGTTCCTCAAAAAGCTGAGAATAGATCTACCACAAGATCCGGTGGCTATACCACTCTTGGGCAAATATCTAAGGGTTTCTGTACCTCACTGCAGAGATACTTGCTCATCATGTTCATAAGAACCAACAATCAGGAACAATTTACATGTGCATTAACTGTGAAAGGATAACAAAATGGGTTACTTTTGCACAATGGGCTATCATTCAGCTGTTAAAAAGTATGATTTTTGGGAAAATGAGTGGAACTGGAAACAGTTGTCCTGAGTGAGGTAACACAGACCAAAAGATACAAATACTATATGTTTTCTGTCATTTATAAATGTTAATTAGCCTTCAGGTTTTAGGTATGTGTGTTTTGTTCAGAATACCAACAGATGTTAGGTAAATAATAAGGGACCATGGACTGGAGGGAGTCTATCAAGGAAGGGGAAATAGAATACGGTGTTGTAGAAAAATGGAAGAGAGGGGATTAAATGGGGGATGTGAGGACAGGCTGGAGGAGGGGATCTAAGGGGGGCAGGATAATTAACAGTGAAGTCCTTTTGAAAAAAGCATTTGGAAACCTACTATTGTAGAAGCACACACACACATATATATATATATATATATACACATATATATGTATAGTATGTACATATATATGTACATATGAAAGGAGCTTGAATGAAGTTGCTATATACTGGGGGTGGGGGTGGGCAATACCCCCAACTAGACCAAATAAAACACCCAGCACCAAGAATGTACAGACTCTCACATACTATCCCTAGATTGTATGGTTGGTTGCTAGTGCTAATTGTTACACTCTAGAACTTGGCAGTAAAACTCTGCTGCTGAAGACATCACATAATTGAGTCATAGAACATGGAGAAATCTATCTAACCATAAGCTTCCTCCCTACTGACTAGAATTCATAGTTCTGGCAGGTGCTAGACACACTACTGGAAGAGAAGAGTACCATCAATTCCACTCGACAGTGAACCCTGTGAGCTATAGGAATTATCTGACAAGATATGCTCACTGATCCCATAGTGGCATGAATGTGATGGGAGCAACCAACTACTTTTGGTTGGATTTAAGGTCTGCTTCACAAGATGGAACCCATACTCGACACTGTCAATAAGGCCAAGAACTTGGGGTTGGACAAGTTTTAGATCCTATGGGAAAAGCTACTACTATTATTTTGCTAAATGGACATAACAACAAAATGACTCCTATGACATATTGCTATACTCATCGATCAATGCAACACTCAAACCTCATCAGATAAGCTTCTTCTTGCAGTAAATAGTAATTAACACAGAAATGTACAACTGGTCAATGCATAGAGGATAGGGGACTTTGGAATGTTCAGCTCTAAAAGGGATATTTATATAATGTCCCTCCTCTTAAATGTTCAGGGATCTATGTGGAAGAGAGAGCAGAAAGAGGTAGAGCCAGAGGTAGTGAATAACGAAGTGCTTTCCAGATATAACAGGGCTTCACACCTGAGCTCACAGAGACTGTGGCATCACTGTGCACAAGGTCAAGCCAGACAAAGTTTCAGCATGGTAGGGGGAAGGTTGGCATTAAGTTTGGCATTGAGGTTGGCATCTTATCTATCTAAGCATTTGATTGCTTTTGAGACGGTATCTTAGTTTGCTTTCTATTGCTGTGAAAATAGAGAAAGTCGATTTTTTTCTCAGGAGAGTGACACCTGACATATCAACCAGACTTCAGGAACAGTCAGCTAACACAATTGGACTCTATATTTTCTTGTAAGAGAGAGAAAGGAATGGGTGGTGGGAAAGAGAGAGAACATAAACCTGGGTAGGTAGGGAGTTGAGGTATACTCTGGAAGTAGTTGGGGAGAGTGTGAATATTATTAAAGTATATTGTATGAAATTATCAAAAACAAAAAACATTTAAGAGGCTACTAAAGAGAAATAAATACTGTCTCATTTGTTACAAGCTAAAACATCTCATGGCCTTTAATGTGTGCTGAGGGGAGTCAGGCCAATCCCGGGCTTTCTCAGGGTCCCGATGAAAGGACAAAGAAAACCTAGCTCTGTATCCCTGCCCAGGGGCAGACCTGGCAAGGTCTAGTCAAGGGATTAAGGTTTTGGTTCCTGGAAAACTGGCTTTTTTCCTCTGAAGAGACTGAAGTTATCAGTTTCGAGGCCATCGTGTGCACTTGGGATGTCCTGTGTTCCTCTGGTGCAACATTCACCTCTTCATTAGTCTCCTATTGAATTTGGCCCACTGTATGATAACTTCGCACTTATTCCCATTTTCCCCTTAGAAATTGTAGATAAGTTGCTGTGCTTCTTAATAAAAGTTGCTTGGCACAAAACATAGCTTGTACAACACCTCCTGACCCCCAAACTTTCTATTTTCTTACTCTGCTGACTCCCTGGTTCCCCCTTTCAATAATCTGTCACTGAAGAATGGCCTGCTTGCTGGTCAAAGCCAGGGTACAATAATCTAACTTACACAGCAGGGCACAATATTTTGTTGGGCAACCCTGATTTAAGTAAAACTGGCTTGTAATGAAGTCAATATAATCCTTTTCAAAAATAATAGTTCCAGTTCACTGAATACTGTTATTGCTTTTCATTTAAAGAGATATTATTTGATTTAATCAGTAAACTTCAACTTTTCACAAAGTTAAGGAATGCCACCTCAAGACCTATTGGAGATTATAAGGCATCATATTTACTTTAAACATTGGTAAAACTATTGTCACTGTCAGAACAGAGCAAGATTTATCTCAGATACATGTAAATGGCCAACTGGTTAAACCAAGTTCAAACAATACACAGGTAGAGCTGTGCTTATACTCTTGTTTTTATACATCATTTTCTTGACTTTAATATAAGCTATCAGGTATGAGGTAATAGAGCATTACAAATGATTTTTGGCCTAGACTGGTTTGAATCTAAAATCTTAAGATCCATGAAACCACGTTTGCTATAATTTTGTCTTTAACCCTTGACTGGTTATTACTTGCTAAATCCCTTCACTGCAGGCAGGGATTTTAATAGCACCCACTTTCATGGAATCTTCACGTTGAAGATTATAATGACAAAACACTATTATTTTATAACAGATGCAATAGCTTTATAAACTAAGGGAATTAGCAATCGGGAAGTCGGAGCCGCTCGCAGTAAGCCACACCTAAGACTTCTGCTGCACATAAGCCTCTTCAAGGATACACTGGCATCAACTTTTACATCTTTAACCTCTATTTCTAAATTTGACCTGCCAGATAATGGATAACCTCTTTCACAATCGCTTCTCCACTCCTTAGAAAGAAAAGGCACCCTGCACACCCACAAGAACCTAATTGCTCAAAGGCCCAAACAAAGGAATCACTTGAAACACTGGTATGAAAAGGCAGAAGACTCATAACAAATCCCCTTGAAAATCAAGTGATTTCTAATGCTTTGCTTCCCTCACAATGGAAAGTACTTAATTATTTTGCCAGTCAATGGATGAAAAGAATAATCATTGAGCCTTCAGTGACTTTTAGCTGACAACTTGGAAAGAGTTCACAGGCCTGAATGGTGTTTTCCTATTTCCATCCATTTAATTGGAATATACTTTCTCAAAGCTTTTTATCTGTAAAAAGTAGTTAACACCTATACTGGTATGTTTTTTGTCAACTTGGTACAAGCTAGGGTTATCTGGGAAGAGGACACTCAACTGAGAAAAATGTTACT